GAGGAGGCAGGATGGGGGAGGGGAGGAGGAGGAGGAGGAGGAGGGCAGAGCTCCGAGGTGCTGCGCGAGAGGTGGGCCAGCTCGTTCCGCCTGAAACATGCTTGCATGTCTGCGCTCGGAGGACATGTCCGCAAGTTTGTCTGGCCCGGATCGCTTGAGATATCCTCGCAATTCGGGGCTCCGAGATGCTGTGGGCGAGGCTGTCCAGTTCGTTTCGCCCTAAACACCCTCGCAACTGGGCGCCCTTGGCCAGACGGAGGAGGTAGCCGGCGACGAGGCGCGAGCACGATTCATTTGTAATTTGCAAGAGCTTTTCAGGGGGGAGCCATGCTGGAGCAAATCGTGGAGACTCCTCTCACGCGAGCGCAACAAGAAGGGAGAAGGCGGGGTGGGGAAGGAGAGCGGGTGGAGGAAAGAGCTCCGAGATGCTGCGCGAAAGGGGCAGTGGAGGAGGAAGACGGGACCATGCTCCAACGCAACCCTTTGGAGGGCATCCCTGACGAGGGTGCCTCCTGGAAGCGGCATCGAAAGTGCGTCGGCATCGCTGGCATGGCGGAGGATTTGGAGAAGAAGGAAGTGGAGGAGGACGAGGAGGAGGAGGAGGCGGAGGAGAAGGAGGAGGAGGATCAGGAGGAGGAGGAGGATCAGGAGGAGGAGGAGGAACAAAAGCAGGAGCAGGAACAGGATGAGCAGGAGGAGCAGGATGGACAGGAGAAGGAGGAGGAGGAGGAGCAAGAAGACGGGGAGGACTTGGAGGAGGGTGGGGAGGGAGAGGAGGAGGCGGGGAAGGTGGAGGAGGTGGAGGAGGAGGAACACTGCGAGGCGGAGGAATGACACGTTCATGGAAGAGGTCGATGACGAGGTAGAGGATGAAGAGGAGAAGTGTGAAAACGGCGAGGACGATTCGCATCAGGCACATGCAGTTTTGTATGAGGATGTGGACGAAGAGGAGTGATATGAGGAGATACAGGAGGAGGAGGAGGAGGAGGAGGAGGAGGAGAAGGAGGAGGAGGAGGAGGAGGAGGAGGAGGATCAGGAGGAGGAGGAGGAGGAGGAGGAGGAGGGGAGGAGGAGAAGGTGGAGGATTAGGAGAAGAAGAAGAAGAAGGAGAAGGAGGAGGAGGAGGAGGAGGGGGAGGAGGAGGCGGAGGAGGAGGAGGAGGGAGGAGGAGACGGAGGTGGAGAAGGATTAGGAGGAGGAGGAGGAAGAGGAGGAGGAGGAGGAGGACGAGGAGGAGGAGGAGGCGGAGGAGGAGGTGGAAGAAAATGAGGGGGAGGACTAGGAGGAGGGGGAGGAGGGAGAGGAGGAGGCGGGGAAGGTGGAGGAGGAGGAGAAGGAGGAGGAGGAGGCACAGGAGCAGGAGGAGGAGGAGGAGGATAATCAACAGGAGAAGGATGATGATGATGATGATGATGATGCTGATGATGATGATGATGATGAGGATGATGATGATGATGATGATGAGGATGAGGATGAGGATGAGGATGAGGATGAGGATGAGGATGAGGATGATGCTGATGATGATGATCATTTCATGATCATGATGACGATGCTGATGATGATGATGTTGATGATGATGATGATGATGATGATGATGCTGATGATGATGAGGAGGAGGAGGATGATGAGGAGGAGGAGGAGGAGGACGAGGAGGACGAGGAGGAGGAGGAGGTAGAGCAGGAGGTTGAGGAGGAGGAGGAGGAAAAGGAGGAGGAGCAGGAGGAGGAGCAGGAGCAGGAGAAAAAGCAGGAGGGCTGACATGATCGGCACCCCGTTGACTCCCGAGCAAGTCGTCATTGGTGACCTACCGCTTCGCGACGGAGGCGCCGCCTTCGGAAGGGCCGCGCCCCGGGCGGCTGCTGCTTTACTCGCGGGTTGGCGCCATTACCTCTGGCGGCAGTGCGCGGGGGCCCCCCTGTGCACCGAGCGGGGCTTACGCGCTGCCTTCCCGGCGCTCGCGGAGGAGCTGGACAAGGCGAGGGCCGACTTGACGACCCGGGCGCCGGCGCTCGTGGGCGATCCCATGCTGGACTTCACGAAGTAGCCCCGCAAGCGCAAGAAGAAGGCGCTCATGGACGTGATCTCCCGCAGGGCGCGCACTTGACTTCGACTGAGTCCGGGGCCCATACAGGGCGCGGCTGCGACAGGCAGGCGGTGCCAGAGCTGGCAGCTTCCGGTGCGTGCCACAGCCTGACACCAAAGCCATCGCAGATGGAGCCTGGCGGATGGCCCTACGCAGGCGCCAGCTGTGCACAGATGAGCACATTGTCTACCCAGCATTTGCGAACACGCACTCTCGCCACTCTGGATCTCGGGGTGCTTGCGGGGCGCCGCTGGATGGGCTTGATGGTTTCTTGCATGCAGAGAGGTGCAACATCGGCGGCGGCGTCGTGGGGAGCCACGACGAGATCCGCGGCATACTGTGGCACTTCGTGAAGGCGCGCATCAACCCCAGAGCGCTCCGAAAGCAGTGCCTGGAGAGCTTGCGGGCGCCGGCTTTGGACGGCGCAGCTGCCGACGACGACCCGGCCGACGTGCTGGACGTCGCGTTCATCTACGACGGCGGGCCCATCTCCATCGACGTCGCCGTGGTGGGCGCGCGCGCAGACCCGCCGCGATTCCGGGCGGCGGCCAGCCACGACGGGGCGGCCGCCGAAGAGGAGGAGAGATCCAAACGGCGGCGCTACGCGGGACTGAACATATCCCCGTGCGTCCTGGCGGCGGCCGCCCCGGCGAAAACGCCCAGGCGACTATCCGCCTGCTCGCCGTCGCGGGGGGCGGCAAGGCGAAGGCTTTTGCCTTGGCGGCGGGCCTCTGGCAAGAGGTCGGCACCGCCCTTCAGGCGTCGGTGGACTGGCGCGTCGCCAGCGCATACGTCCGCGCGGACAGCATGTCCCTGGCGGGCTCGCGGTGGAGACTTTGGGCGGACGCAGCGGGCCAGAAGGTGGCGAGTGCCGGGGCCGCGAGGAGTAGAGGAGTAGAGGAGTAGAGGAGGAGGAGGAGGAGGAGGAGGAGGAGGAGGAGGAGGAGGAGGAGGAGGAGGAGGAGGAGGAGGGCGAGGGCGAGGGCGAGGGCGAGGGCGAGGGCGAGGGCGAGGAGGAACCAGAAGTGGCCGAGGAGGATGTCGCGGCCGAGGGCGAGGAGGAGCGGGAACAGGCCGAGGAAAAGAAGGAGGAAACTGCGGAGGCGAGCCCCTGGCGGGGAGCGCGGCGGAGGAGGCCGAGGGGAGGAGGAATCCGAAGAAGCCGGGGAGGAGGAGGAGGAGGAGGAGGAGGAGGAGGAGGTGGAGGCCAGCCCCAGGGCGGGGAGCGCCGAGGTGGAGGAACAAAAAAAAGGAGGCAGAGGGCAGAGGTCAAGGAGGAACCAGAAATGACCGAGGAACCCCAGGGCGGGGCGCGCCGAGGAGGAGGAGGAGGAGGAGGAGGAGGAGGAGGAGGAGGAGGAGGAGGAGGAGGAGGCAGAGCGCGAGGAGGAACCACGGAGGAGGCGGCGCCGCTGGCGCCGCGACCGGGGACGCGAGGCGGCGGCGAGCAGGAGGCGAGGAGGAGAGGTGGAGGAGGAGACATAGGGCGAGGAGGAGCCCGCAGAGGCTGAGCTCGGCTGCGCGCGTCGGCGGCCGCGTCGGCGCGCAAGCGGTCGCTTCGGGGCCCTCCTCGAACTCGTGGGCCCCAGGGCGCAGGAGGGGAAGAAGGTTTAGGACGCGGAGGGGGAGGAGAAGGAGGAGGAGGAGGAGGAGGAAGAGAAGGGGGAGGAGGACCAGGAGGATCAGGATGAAGAGAATGACGAGGAGGAGGAGCGGGAGGAAGAGAGAATGGGGATGAGGAGGCGAAGAAGGAGGAGGAGGAGGAGGAGGAGGAGGAGGAGGTGGAGGTGGAAGAGGGGGAGGAGGTGCAGTGGAAGGGGGAGGGCGAGGGCGAGATGGAGAATTCTGTGGATGCGGGAGAGGGGGAACGACGACGACGACGACGATCGGACAGCTCGACGACGCCGACAGCGCAGGCGGATCACAAGCAGGGGATTGCGCGAGCACTCTTGGGAGCAACCTTGGCTAAAACAGCGATGTTGGATGACACTGGATTCTGGCTATACGTTTCACCCCTTCCTCCTCCTCCTCCTCACCATCGGTTTTGCTTGAGAATGTTCACCGCCCACTCTGTCTCTTTTTCGTTTCTGCTTCCCCTCCAATCTCCATTCTACAATACGGCCGGACCGGGGAAGAAGATCGAAGCCAACTCGGGGGGGTACCCTCCTGTTCTTCGTGTTGATGGGATGTTCCTGTGCATCCTTGGGGAGGGCACCCTCGAATGTTCCTGAAGGATGTTATTTTTTTCCAGGCCCGACCGTGTTCTTCTTGTGAGAGGCCATGTCATCCATGACCCATCGACTCGGCGCGGAGCCTGCCGGCCGCGATGACACAGCGGCTGACCGTGAACGTTGTTGACGGTCTGCTGGAGATGGTGCAGCAGCAAAAAGGAAACATTTTGAACACAAGGTACGGTCGGACCGTGGTATAAGATCGAGGTCGGTTCGGGGAGGGTGCCCTAATGTTGTTCGTGTGTTGCTGGATGTTCTCGTGCATCCTGGGGGAGGGTATCCTCGAGTGTTCTTCAGTCTGGCCGGCGGAAGGTCTCGGATGTTTTTGCAGGATGTCATTGTGTCCCAGGCTGGCTGCATAAGAGCCACAGCGGCGACGGCGACATCGATGCTGATGGTAAGGATAACGGCCATCACGATCGACACCTCTGCCGTCACACATCACACACACGCCGATCACGATGCTGGCCGCCGTCGTCGCAACAGTCGTTGTTGTCCTTGGTCCGTGTACGGCAGGTTCGCGCCGCGTCGACGCATCCAGCGGCGATGTTGTCCCGTGTCTGTCAGGGTTGAAGGCCGCCAGCAGCCTGAGCCGGGCCAATCTGGGGGAGATCGCTGAAGACTGGACGCCTTTGCGCGGTGGCAGTGACCAACGCCCACGTCGCCACGACCTGGTCCGTCCCTGCAGCCATTTTGGTTCCAGCGTTCGCAGCAGCCTGTCCGGGGAAGCGCCCAAGGTCAGCACCGTCCAACCGATCCCTGCCCGGAGCCCATTTCGATCCGATCGACTCGATTCGATATCGGCTCTCGCTGGTCCGAATCGATTCGATTTCAATTTTTGGGCGATCCGATGAGGCCCGATGCTTGCATGGGACTGTTGTGTATCCTTGCGCCGCCGACTGCATGCGATTCCGACTCCGCACCAATGCGGTCCGATTTGACCTGCATTTCGATGCGGTCCGATTTGCCGATTCGATACTGGCCGTTCCTGTCCCTACCCCATTGGGCCACAGCACCGCAGCCCCACCAGCCCACCTCCTCAGCTGGGGATACAGGTGGCACGAGGGTGAAGAGCATACCTAGCTTTGGAGGGCCTCGCGCTCGTCCTGCGTGAGCCCTCCACGACGGGCCTTGGGCTTCTGGTGGAGGGGCACATGTTCTTGACTCACGTTTCTGTGGCCATGTTGCGACTGCAGGCCGCCCCGCGGAGGCCCCATGGAACAGAGAGACGTCCCCAACCAGGGGGTCAGCGGGCCAGCTGGGCCAAGGCCATGACGGTCCCAGGCACCCGACGATCTGTCCAATCTGCAGCCCCCGGAGATCCAGACCCTCTTCGCAGGGGGGCAGCGTTTCGCCCCGGACATTAGCTGCGCCATCACTCCCGAGCCCCCCCCGACAAAAAGGCGCCGGGAGGCCGAACCTCGCGGAAAGACACCGGGACGGAACGGATCACATCGGCGGAGATTTGGTGTGGGGGCTGGTCGGCTGCGCGTACGAGGGACCCTTCGCCCGAGTGGCCTCTGGTGCGGGCCCTCGCGGGCGATGTTTCTCCCCCAATCCCCGAGTTTCGCCCGAAAAGTTTGGCCGCCCAGATAAATGGGGAAACCCTGGGATACACCCCAACGGAGCTATTCGGACGCACCCCCTATCGAGGATGGACACCCCCCATCGTCTATCCCAGGGTTGGGCCCCACATCCCTGGTCCATTCGGAAACCCCCACGAAGCCTGGGATAGGGGTCGACATATCCCCTGTCAGGCCCACAGGCCACAAAGGGTCCCCCCAGCACCCGTCCGTGCGCACAGACCTGGGCCCCCCGGCGAGGCCGCGCACCGGAGGCCTCTCTTGCCCAGGGGCGCCCCTTTGCGTGCAGCCAGAGAGGAGCGCTGCAAGACAGCGGTGTCGTCTTCACCGGCCTCCGCGCGGCAGCTGCCCGCGCCAGGTCGCGCGCGAGCACCCTCGTCTCCGGTGTGGCGCGCCGCGCTGGCGGCCCGCGTGAGCCACCGCGTCAGGCCGCTGCGTCATCGCGCGTAAGACCTCCTCCTCCTCCTCCTCCTTCTCCTCCTCCCCCTCCTCCTCTCCTCCTCCCTCCTCCTCCTCCTCCTCCTCCTCCTCCTCCTCCTCCTCTCCTCCCTCCTCCCTCCCACTCGTCGCTGACATGGGGGCCCCCGAACGGCAGCAGCACTCGGTGACCCTCGGGCCCTACTTCTCGAGCCCCGTGCGGCCGCTACCGGCACGCCAGGGGCGCGCCCCTGACGGGGCGCAGCCGCGGAAAACAGCACCCCGAGGCTGGAAGAGTCGCCGGCAGGCGGCGAAGAGGTCCAAAGAGGGGGGTGACTTTATTCCGTGAGCCCGTAACGTCCCCTCCCCCCACTCCCCTCTCCCCTCTCCCCTCCTCCTCCCCTCTCCCCTCCCCTGCCATTCCCCTTCCCTCCCCCTCCCCTTCACAATTACACAGTATGAATACGGCTCTCCTCTCTTTCCTGATTCTGTCCGGAGAGTTTCCCCGTCCTCTTCGCGCATTGTTCTTGCACACAGGATTTCATTAGTTGGTTTGTTTCGTGTGTGTGCTTTTGTCTAATCTGGTCGTTTCTGCTCCTTCCAAATGGTGCTCCCGCTGCAGCGCCGCCCTCATTCCCGCGCTGCGGTCATTCAAAATCGCGCTCCCGCTGCAGCGCTTGCCTCGTTCCCGCGCTTCTGGACGGCACTTGGTATTCGAAAGCGCCCACATCGGGCAGGCACGGTTGCGGAGGACATGGCGCCGACATTCTGGACAGGCTTTGTCTTCTCTTAGACGGGCCATTTACCCTCCAAGTCATCCGGTGCCATGCTACGGCATGCAATGCGATGTTACGTTGTGCAACGTTGTGCGATGTCATGCTTTGCGTTGCTTTTTTTGTGAAGCAATCCTTCACTACGCAATGCCACGCCATGCTATGATATGCTGAGCTCTGCCGTGATCCTCTACGCCATGCTTTTCCATCCATCGGGTACGCTCTTGGGATCATTGCCTTGCTCGACATCCGACTGCGAATAGATGGGAGGTCTACGCCATGGTAAGGGATGGGAGGGAGAGGTAGGACGTCAGATGCGACGCTAGCGCACCTAGCTTGCCCCTCCCTACTCCCACCTCCCGTTACGTGGGGTCGCCCTCCCCTCCCCCCCTCCCCTCCCCGTAACGGTACGCGGGGGGGTGCTGGTTCCCCCACACACATGGCGCGGTGTTCACAGTCGTACTGTGGCGCTTCCAGACATGAGTTGGTGCTCAAAAGCATGCTGTGGCGCTCGCAGGCCCGTCACCCCCCCTCTCCCTTGTAACGGACGTTACGAGGGGGAACCGAGCAGCTATCGAATGGCCTTCGGCCCATCCCGCCACCTTGCCTGGGTCGCGGGTATGAAGCTTATTGGATCTTCGTTGGGATCTCGCGGGATGCTTCTCGGGGGCCTCTTGGAGGCAGTTCGGACGCCTCTTGGGGGCCTCTTGGGTCCTCTTTTGGGCCTCTTGGGCGCCTGTTGGGGCCTCTTGGGGACCTCTTGTGGCCTCCTCGGCGCCTCTTGGGGCCTCCTGGAGGCTTCTTGGGGAAGTTCGGATTTTTAGTTGGGCCCCTTTGGGGGCCATCTTGGGGATCCCTCTTGGGCCGTTTTGGGCGCCTCTTGGCCAGTCTTGGTACCCTCTTGGGCCGTTTTAGGGCCCTCTTGGAGGCTTCTTGGGCCGCCTTGGGGCGGTCTTGGGGCCACTAGGGCCGTCTTGGAGCGGGGGGGAGTCGAGAAGGCGGGAACGCGGACATCAACCAATATTTGTCGCATATGGAAGGCCTCTTGGAATTCTTTGGGGGCGTCTTGGGGGGACTCTGGGCCTCTCTATATGGGCCATCTTGAGCGTCCGAGGCCGAGCTCTCCGCGACTCGAGGCGGCCTTGGGCCGTCTCGGCGGCCTCGTGGGGCCCTCGGGGCCCCCTCTCGGGCCTGAAAAGGTCACGCGACAAGGCGCGGCAAGCCCCAGGGGAACCACGGGAAGCCCAAGAGGATTGGAGAGTTTCGGGTCTGGACCCCTAAGAGACTCCTCAGGAGTGAGGGCTGAGGCTCGGCGGAGTGGGCAAAGAACCTGAGGACACGCCCACTCCGTTCCCAGAGGCACGGTGGCGGGTTCTGGCGAAGTACCCAACCATTTGCAGTTGTGAGTATCGTAGTCGGTGGAGCCCATATCTGAGGCTACGACACGTGTGATGAGAGGTGCGCTGGAATGGTGTGGAGCAGGCATGCTGGCCCTGGCACTGGGACCTTCGAAGGAGCTCCCTATGGGGCGACGAAGCGATTGAGGGGTGCGCCGAAATGGTGTAGAGAAGGCATGCGGGCCCTGGCACTGGGGCCGTTGGTGGAGCTCCATATGAACCCACGAAATGTGTGATGGGTGCGCCGACATGGTGTGGAGAAGGCGTGGGAGCCTAGCCACTGGAGCCTTAGGTGGAGCACCCTATTGGCTCACGAAGCGTGTGAGGGGTGGGTGCGCTGGCATGGTGTGGAGAAGGCATGCGAACCTGCCGCTGGGGCCTCAGGAAGAGCTCCCTCCGGGGCCACGAAGAGTTCGAAGGGTGCGCTGGCATGGTGCGGAGAAGGTATGCGGACCTGGCCACTGTGGCATTAGGTGGAGGTCTCTGTGGGCCACGAAACGTGTGAGGGGTGTGCCGAGGCGGAGGCTACGGGGGGCAGATGCAAAGGGCAGGCGGAAGGAGGGGGAGGAGAGGGAGGGAGAAGGATGAAGGAAGAGGAGACGCGGGACGATGCGTATTCAAAACGAGGGCCGAACACCACTAGATGGTTTTGAACAGTCTCAAGGTCATAACATTATATACTTGGCCGACGAAGAAAAGCGGCATAAACATAAACTTGTGGGGCTCCGCGTGGATTTCCTGGATCTGCGTAGGGCCCCCCCGGCGGCGCTTCCGGCGCCGCCCCTGGCGCGCTCTTGCGCAGATCCAAGAAGCCCGCGCGAAGCGCCAAGAGTTTCTGGTCATGGCTTTGTGTTTTCTTCTACTTAGAGATCTGGGGCCTCCTCCTCCTCCTCCTTCTCATCCTCCTCATACACCGCCTCCTCCTCCCTCTCCCCCTCCCCCTCCCCCTCTTCGACCTCGTCCATTCCTTGTCCTGATAAATCACTTCTCCCTGTCGCACCCCGAGGCAAGTTTTTAGGGCGGGCCGGGCGTGTCACCTGATAATTCCTCACCATCTATGACCCTGAAGCTTCAAAATCAGCAACAGTTTCACACATGGAGGGCGGGCCGTTTTCAAGATGTGGCTCTCGCCTTAGCGCCGCGCACATTCGTTTTGAACATTCGTAAGAATTTTTAGGATTTAGGGCGGGTGGTTTTGTGGCTCTCGCCTCAGCGCCGCGCACATCCTTTTTCAACATTTGCAAGAGTTTCGCGGCTTCAGGGGAACCCGTTTTCAGAATGTGGTTCTCGCTTTAGCGCCGCGCACATTCGCTTTAAAATGTTACAATAGTTTCACGGATTGAGGGCAGGTCTTTTTAAAAATGTGGTTCCCGCCTTATCACCGCGCACACTCATTTTAACTGTTTGCAAGAGTTTCACTGATTGAGGGCGGTTCCTTTTCAAAATGTGGCTCCCGCCTCAGCGCCGTGCACACTCGTTAATCAACTTTGTAAGAGCTTCACGCGTTCCCATGAAGATTGTGCCAGAGATAGTGTTTTGGAAGGGTTCAGGGTTATGAGGGCGCAACAGGTACGTTCATTCGCGGTGTTGAAGTCCCAAGAATGGCGTTCTCGCATGATTCAGGCTCGTCCGAACGCAACGGTCAGGTTGATCCGTGGCGTTGGAATCCCGAGAACAATGTTTTGGCATGCTTCAGGGTCTACGAACGGTTGTCTTCCAACGAGGCAGCTCCTTCCTTGGAACTGAACCGTTGCAGGGGCCTGTGAAGAGGGAGCTTGGAGGGAGGGTTGATTCCAACATCGTTGATGACTCTTGGGCTTACACTGGTCCTTCTCCTTCTCCTGCTACCCCTCCTCCTTGGGGGTGGGGATCGGTGGCACGGTGCTCACGAGGCGACCGCCCGGAGCCTGGCCAGGCGCGTGGCCGCGCCGAGGCGGCGATGCACGGGTCCCGCGCGGCCGCCGCGGACAGCGCGCGCTCGGCGGCCTCGCAGGGGTACTCCAGCAGGACTGGCTTCACATGGCAAGAGAGCCACAGACGAGCCGCTTCTCTGACAACAACGCTGCCCACTCTCCCTCCTCGTCTGTCTTTCCGTTCCTCCTCCTTCTCCTCCCCCTCCTCCTGCCAGGTTCCTTGCCTCTTCCTCCTCCTCCTTTCTCTCCCTCTTCCCCCAGCCCAGCCGGGACACATGTCGATGCTAACGTTGTGTCGTGGTTGGCCCAGACAGGAGGCCCGTTTGCAAACACATTCCATTGCGAAAACATATCCGAGACATAGTTTTCATGACTACACGAAAGGTATCAACAATATGTACAGAACAAGATATGTGTTGTGCGCACAGTTATCGCAAATATTAGTTGGTGTGCTTCTCGTATTGGAGGAGCGTGCCACTTATCTTTCGCGAGCCGAGAGATAGTTGGCATGCCACTCCAATGCGATATTCTCAGTATTCGGACGTTGCGCCGCCGCCGACTGGTTTGCAAAGCAGGTCCGGGTTGGCCCAGGGAAGCGCGTCGACGCCAGCCCTCCTCGCGGGGGCCCCCGCCAAAGGGCTCCAGAAGGGCCAGATGGGAAGCTCGAGAGGCCACCCGCCAAAGGCATCCATCCTCCTGGGGCCCTCTCCTCTCGGGGGCCTTCCCGAAGCCCTCCGGAAATTCGAATTGGGCCCCCAGACGGCCCGAGAGGGCTTCAAAAGGGCCCACGGGGCCGTCGGGGGGGGCCCTTTTGGCCAAAATGCATTGGCGCCACCTCTGGGTTCAGAGACCTTGGCTGCGTTGGCACCTTTTCGGGGCTTGTTCGAGACTTCGTGAGTGGGTCGCTGGGGACCTGGGAGGCGTCCCAGAAGGGCTCAAGAAGGGCCCAAGAGGGTCCAAAGAAGGGCTCCCGATAGTGGCACCCAGAGGGCCCTCTGGGGTGCCACTGGGGGTGTTCTCCTTTGGGCAGTCGAGAGCCTCGGCGCCAGCATCCTCGTCAGCACTGCCTCGATCACCAGCGCCACCATCCCCGCCGGCGCTGCCGAGACCTCCAGGGACTGCCCCCTCGGCAGCACAGCTCGGATCTACGGCGCCTGCATACTTGCCGGCGCCCTCCTCCGCCCTCTGCAACGCAGACGCGTCCGGCGGTCGCAAGGCCGTCGCCTCGCCCCGCGCCACTCCCTCCTGCGGGCTGGGCACTCCGCCCGAGTGGAAGCGGGCGCTGCCGCCCGCTTGCCCGCTGCGGGCAGGGCCCAAGCGGGTACTTCTGCTGGGTCTCGGCGGTGCTGGCGCTGTGGCCGGGCTCCCCGGCCCTGGCCGCGCGAGGCCCTCCCTGACATCCGCCGAAGGGGTCGGTGTTTCGAGCCCGAGGGTGGCCAGAAGCTTTCCTGCATGGACGCTCTCTCGGTCGGCTCGCCGTCTCGGGGGGCCCCCACAGGTGGCGTCGGCGCCGAGGGCCCCGCAGCTCGCGTCGACAGAGGGCTGCCCAGCCTCTACGGCACGGTGTCTCCCCTGTGCGGCAGCACCTGTGGAGGCCTGCCTGACGGCGAACTCCCCCGCCCCCGTGCGAAACATCCGTGGAAGCCTTCCTGACGGCGCACTCCCCCCCCCCCACCCACCCCTGCGACCTCCGCCCCCTTTCTCCGCCTTGCTCCCTCGCCTCCTCCACCCTCAACCCTTCCGACGGCGCCCTCCGCGTTGCCGCCGCGTGCCTCAGCGGGCAGCGGTGGCACTTGCTGAAGGCAGCGTGCTGGGACATGGTGGCGCGGTGGATCTCCTGCCTCGCCAACGCTTCGCCTGTCGCCCCACCCGACGGCGCCCACCCCGACGCCCTCCCCCACGGCCTCCCTGCCACTCCCTCTGGCTGCCCCCCCGGCGGCTCCACTGATCCGGCCCTGGAGGCTGCTCCTCCCCGCAGGCCGCGCGCCCCTCGCCCCGCGGCGCGCGCGGGACCGGCGCGCGCGGCGCTGTGCCCGGGGCCGCGCTGCCCTCCTCGGCCGCTTGCCGCTGCCGTGCCTGCGCCGGCTCCGCGGGCCCGGCCGCCAGGGCAGCGCCGCCAGTCTGCGGGCCGCCTCGCGCCTGGCCGGGGGCCGGGGGCGGCAGCCTCGGCCCGTTGGGCTTTTGCCTCGCCGCCCTCCCTTCTCGCGGGGTGTGGCGCCCCCGCTCTGTTCTCCGTGCGTGGCGCGCTCCTTGCGTCTGCCCTCTGGTGCGCACTGCGCTCTGCTCGCCGACGGCCAGTCCCTCGGTCTGCGTGCGTCCTCCCCGCCATCCGCGCCTGGATGCGCTGATGCAGTCCTCCTCTTCCCGCGCAGTCCTGCTTACCTCACGCTGCCGTGCGGGCTCCGCCCACGGTATTGCGTGCGCCCTCCCCGCTATCCACGCTCGGGTGGCTGACGTCGGTAGGACCCCTTTTGTGTGATGCTTGAGGGCCTGGCCGCCACGCGCACTGCCTGTTCACGTTTTCCGCCTCGTCGCTGCGCGCGATGCCGCTACTGCCAAAAGGGTGTGCACGTGTGTGTGTGTGTGTGCGCAGTCAACCCGTATAGTGAGGACGCGCGACTTCCCCAAAGTTACCCTTGCACCCTTTCCCTTCGGCCCATCCTCGGCCGCTTTCGCTGGCCGTGCCCCGCTCGAACGGCGTCGACATGGCCGTTCGAGGCCGCTTGCATCCGCACCGTGCGTCCTCATCGCACGGGCTGACTGTGTGTGTGTGTGTGCGTGCGTGCGTGCGTGTGTGTGTGCGTGTGTGTGTGTGTGTGTGTGTGTGTGTGTGTGTGTGTGTGTGTGTGTGTGTGTGTGTGTGTGTGTGTGCAGCTCTCGTGCCCCCGGCTGTGCCCCCCCCGAGGACGAAGTCCACCACGTCCGGCGGCGCCTCGGCAGGCAGAGGCTTCTGCACCATCGGGGGCCCCCACGGCGGTACGGCCGGCGTGTGCGGCGCCGCCCTGCACGGCGCCCTCTCCACGTCGACCATCACGTGGAAGAGGGAGCAGTCCTTGATCGGCAAGGCTCAGGAGGGGAAAAACACACACACACACATGCACACTGAGTCGCCGATCCCCAGGAAAGTGCGTCTGGGAAGCTGTGGGAAGTGGGGGGGAAGGAAGACGGAAGCCCTCAGAAGATATAGATATATATATATATATATATATATATATATGCGGGGAATCCTTTTGTGTGTGTGTATTTCTTCGTGTGCCCCCTGGGCCCCTTGAGAGGCGCACGGCCAGATCGTGACCTTTAGGTACAACGACGTGCCGAAGACGCCCGAGGAGACCGGAGCCCGCCGGGGGGGGCCGACGGGGTGCCCCAGCACTGGCTGCGGCCCGCGGAGGGGGAGGGGAGAGAGGAAGGGCCCCCCTTCGTCGCCACGGCTGCACGCGGCTCGAAGAGCTTTGACAGTCTCGACCTGTGGAGGGGTCTGGGGATCGACTTTGATCAGGAGGGAAAGAAACACACAGACACAATTAATCGTCGACTCCCAGGAAAATATGCTAAAATATGGGAAGTGGGGGGGAAGACAAAAACCCCAAAAATATGGGAAAATATAGGGGAATCTTTTTATTTGTGTGTATTTATTTGTGTGTCCCAGGGCCCCTTGGTTTGAGCGGGTTTGCCCTCGCCCCCTCCCCTTGACCGATGGCCGATGCTCTTGGGGCCCACCTGGCGCATTCCCCCCTGGCCACATGCAAACCGAGGCCGTGTGCAAAGAGCGCATCGCCGACGCCCTCGAGATCGACGACTACGAGGACCTGAAGGAGGCCCTGGGCGAGTGCAGGGACCCGGCGGACACGTCCGCCTACCTGGTCACGACCTCGGAGGTGGCGCGGCTCCTGACGGCCATCCGCAGGCACGTCTTGGGGCAGATAAGGGAGCTGCGCGCGAAGTGCAAGGAGGCGGAGAAGGACGGGGGCGACGTCGGGCCCTTGCAGGCCAAGATCCTCAAGAAGATCGAGGAGCTCAAGGTCCACGGCGCGTCTTCCACACAGGTAGCAGAAGTGAGCGGTGTGAAGAGAAAGCCTCCACCGTGTTAGTCCGCTGCCCGTTTGCCCTCTGTCGCGGGGGCGCCCTCGGAAGCCTCTCCGGAGCTGGTTGTGGCTCCCCTTGCGCTGTGTGTCTGGCCCCCTGTGCAGCCTCCCCTCCTCTCCACCTTCTCTCCACCTGCTCCCCCTCCTCCTCATCCTCCTTGTCGCGCTCCTTCTCCGTGCATCTGGCAACTCGATTCTCGTGAGTTCTTGCCCACGCTCAACAATTTCGATTCGGGGGCCAGTTTCTCATCCCAGATGCTTGTTTCGCGGTCCCGTGGCCCACGGATCGCGAAGACGCGAAAAGCCGGTGTGGATATCATGGCCGGGGCCATGAAATCTCCATGTGTCTCACGGCCCCTTGTTCTTCATTCAATGCGTCCGCGTACATGCCTCGGGCCATGATTTGCTACCCCCCCTCTTGGTCGCACCCCACTTTGGACGCCCCCGATTTTCGAGTCACCAGAAGTTTGAATTCTCCTGTTCCTGCCTCCCTGTCCCCGCCCTCGTCCAGTTAGGGGCTCTCAGCTTGCCTGCTCTCCCCTTTGGGTCTCCCTTTTTGCCCCCTGTGCTTCTCAACTGGGTCAGGGGCGATCGCCCGTAGGCTGTTTGTTGTACGCGTGTTTCGCTTTGGTCGTTTCCTCCTCCTCCTCCTCCTCCTCCTCCTTGTGGTCGCCCTTCTCTCCTGCTCTATCTCGCCCTTCTCCTTCGCGATATCTCTTTCTCTGTTTCTCTCTCTCTCTCTTTCTCTCTATCCTTTCCTCGTCCTCCGTCTTCTTGGCCTCCTCGCCCTCCTCCTCGCCCTCCCTTCTTCCTTTTTCTTCGCCCCCTTCGCAGCCCATGCCTGCTTGCGTGCCTGAGTTTCCTTGTTCTGCTGCTGTCCTCCTCCTCTCCTTGTTCTCCTCCCCTGCTCCTCCTCCTCCTCCTCTCCTCCTCCTCTCCCTCCTACCTCCCCCCTTCCTCCCCCCTCCCTCCTTCCTCCCCCTCCTCCCCCTCCTTCCCCTCCTCCTCCTCCTCCTCCCCCTCCTCGAACTGAAGTTCCCCGCCCCCGTGTGCGCCCGTCCGTCGAGCAGGAGGCGCCCGCGAGGCTGGAGCTCTCTGCCGCGCTGGTTGCTTGTGGGCTGGGCTCTCGAGAGGAGTGGAGGAGGTTGGCAGCTTGTAGGACTGGAGGAGGTTGGCAGCTCTCCTCCTCCTCCTCCTCCTCCTCCTCCTCCTCCTCCTCCTCCTCGAGCTGGAAGCGCGTGCCTCGGGAGCCTCGAGACGGGGGTCAATGCAAACGGGGGTCAGCCAGGGCGCCAGATCCTGCAGGATCCTGCGAAGACCCCCTCTGGCTGACCCGGGTCAGGGAGCCGCTCGTGGCCGCGAGGCGGCCGCGCATATTGGCTGACCCGGGTTTGCGAAGACCTGCGCTGCAGTTTTCTTTTCCTGCATTGCAGTTTTTGGTTTCCTGCTGACCCGGGTTTGGATTGACCCGGGTCAGAAGATCCCCGAGTGCCTTGGCCGTTTCCAGGACAGCCACAGGCGAGCCCGACACAGAAGGCGATTCACCGTGGTGGGCCCTGCGCAGGATGGCGCCCATCCGTGCGGGGAACAAGCAGTTCTCCTCGGCTGGATGCCCCCATCCCGTTTTCCTTCTTCCCTCCATGGGCTATTCCCTTATATGGGCAGTGAAATTTCTCCTCCTCCTCCTCCTCCTTCTACTCCTCCTCCTTCTCCTCCCCCGGTGCAAGACAGCAAGTATCAAGTTATCTCGTCCCCCTCCTCATCGTCCTCGCCACTTTTCATCATCCTCGTCCTCCTCGTCTTCCTTTTCCTCGTCCTCCTCGTCCCCCCTCCCCGTCATTCTCCCCCCATCCTCTCCCCTGAGAGCAACGGAGCCCACAGAAGCTTCCCCCGCGACAGCCTGCCCCCCGGGGCCCCGACACGGGCCGTACGTCCCCGCAGGGGCTCTGCTGTGGCAGGTACACAGGTGCTGGCGAGCTGCTCGGGGCCCCTGGGCTGGCAAGCAGTGGCGATAGCATGCGCGTAAATCTGGAATTCGGTACGATCGACATGGGCAAGGAAGGGATGGGTACGAAGACCGACAGCATTTCCTGATTATTTGAGGATTCGCTGTCGTTGTCGCTGTGGGCGTTGTCCATGTGAGACCCGCCTGTCCAATTACGGTTGTGTCGTTTTCGGGCAATCTTAGTTGTTGGGCATCGTGCCATGTATTCCGTGCCCATTCTGGGCAGCCAAAATGCGAAAGTCTAGGCCTCCCAAATGGGTGTCGGAGGATCGCGCCGCGTCGCCAATGCATCGGCCATGCGGCTCGATTCTGGAGCCCGATGTTTCGCCGCGCCGAGGGCGCCGATGCATTGCCGAAGTTGTTGACGTCCTCCGACCCCATCTGTTCCGGCCCCATCTGGGAGGCGTCTACGGGGTGACCTTTGGTGCGGGCCCACTGGGGCATCCCATGCCCCTGCAGCACTGGCCACGGCTCTTGGATTTGGCCACGCCGTGGCCCCTCGAAGCTGCGCGCCAAAGGTTGGAGCCTGTTTTTCTTTGGATTCGGGCAAGTTTACTTGCATGGCGTTCGCCCCCCCCCCCTCCCCCCCCCCTCGCCCCTCTTCAAGCGAACACGAGCGTGCAAGTGCCGTTCGACTTGCGTGATTTCCGCACGTCGAATTGTTTTCGGCTTGCTTCAGACTCAGCCCCCCCCCCGTCCATGCAAGTAAACTTGCCCGAATCTAAAGAAAAACAGGCTCTTGCTCTTGCGAGTTGCCGGTGGAAGAAGAGTCGAAGAAGGGACAAACTACACAAACCTCAACCTTCGGAGGTCCGCGCGGATGTCCCTGCTCGGCGCGGGACCCCCCGGGGCGGCGCCTCCGGTGCCGTCCCCGGCGCGCTCCGCGCGCCAGAGAGGGAGACGAGCGTCCAGCGCCGATCCAAGACATTCGCGCGGGGCCTCAGACGTTCATGATTCTGATTGTGTGTTTCTGGGAGCCTGTTTTTTTTAGACTCTGGCAAGTTCACTTGCATGGACGGGGGGGGGGCTGAGCCTGAAGCAAGCCGCAAACGACTTGCACGTTCGGGGGGGCGCGGAAATCACGCAAGTCGAAAGGCACTTGCACGCTGGTATTCGCTTGAAGAGGGGCGAGGGGGGGGGGGGGGGGGGCGAACGCCATGCAAGTAGACTTGCCTGAATACAAAGAGAAAAACAGGCTCTGGTCCCTCTTCTGGCCGGCCCCCGGAAGAGGGCCCCCGAGGCCGAGACGTCTGGGAGGAGCGGCCAGAATGACAACAGCGAGTCCGCCCGAAGCCTGGGCCCCCTCCTCCGGTTTCACACCACGGGAGCCTGGTGTGCCTTCGTCGCTCCGTCTTTAGAGTGCACTCGCGTCGATCAGTGTCTGGCAGTCGATGATTTAGCTCGATGAGCGTCGATTCGCGCCGATTGGCGTTGATTCAGCGCCGACTGGCGTCGAGCAGCGTCGGCCTGCAAGAGGCCACAGGAGGTATATGGGCGGCCCCCATGGGTTGCCACAGAACCCTCCTCCCCTCCTCTTCTCGGGCTGGACGAAAGGGGGGGACAGGGAAAGGGGGGGTATGAATTCTGCTGCATGCAGCTGGTTTCGGCCCCGCCGCCGGGCCCATGCCTCGATGCACGGGCGCCTCCCGGCGCCGGGAGGCGCCGGGAGAATCAGCGACGTGAGCTGATTCTCAAACCCCCCCTTTGCTCAGAGGCGACGAAAGGGGCGAACCAGGAGGGAGCAATACATGTATCCAAGGGCGCCGATGATCTATGTCTTCGAAAAGGCTCCCGGGCGAATACGTGTAATGCCCGCCCATGGGCTATTCGCCCTTATCGTCGCCGCCGATTTGCGATCCCCCCCTCTCGCCCGGCTCGATCCTCCCTTGCACCCCGGGCCCTCAGAGCCGCGCTCCACCTGCTATGCAGCCGCTCTTTTGGAGCTGGGCGGGCGCTCGGCCTGAGCTTCTGGGCCTGTTCTCCACCACCACCAGCATAAGTTGGAGGGGGGAAGGAGGGGGAGGAGGGGAGAGGAGGAGGAGGAGGAGGAGGAGGAGGAGGAGGGTAGGGAGGAGGAGTGAGGAGGAGGAGGAGGAAGGGGAGGAGGAGGAGGAGGAGGAGGAGGGAGGAGGATAGGATGGAGGAGGAGGAGGAGGAGGAGGAGGAGGAGGAGGAGGAGGAGGAGGAGGAGGAGGAGGGAGGAGGGGAGGAGGAGGAGGAGGAGGAGGAGGAGGGAGGAGGAGGGAGGGGGAGGAGGAGGAGGAGGAGGAGGAGGAGGAGGAGGAGGAGGAGGAGGAGGAGGAGGAGGAGAGGAGGAGGAGGAGGAGGAGGAGGAGGAGGGGGAGGAGGAGGAGGTGGAGGGATGGAGGAGAGAGGAGGAGAGGAGGAGGAGGAGGAGGAGGAGGAGGAGGAGAGGAAGGGGGAGAGGAAGGGAGAGGAGGAGGATGTAGGAGGAGGATCAGGGGGGAGGGGGAGGAGAGGGGAGGAGGAGGAGGGGAGGAGAAGGGGAGCAGGAGGAGGAGGAGGCGGAGGAGGCGGAGGAGAGGGTGAGGAGGAGGAGGAGGAGGAAGAGGAGGAGGAGGAGGAGGCGGAGGGAGGGGGAGGGGGAGGGGGAGGGGGAGGGGGAGGGGAGGAGGGGAGGAGGAGGAGGAGGAGGAGGGGAGGAGAGGAGGAGGAGTAGGAGGAGGAGGAGGAGGAGGAGGAGGACCCCCTCCCCCTCCTACTTCTGGTGGTGGTTGTTGTGGAAAAAAGGCCCACCATGAATGAAGTCATATGTGCCTACTCTCGGCCAGCCCTCGCTCCGCTCTCGAGGGCGCGCTCCGCTGCATAAGCCAAGGGGGGGGCGAGCGGGGCGGACCACCCCAGGAGGCATGCGGAGGCCTCCTGGAACCTCTCCAGCCACTCCTCGAAGGCCGAGGGCGAGGCCCCCTGACATCGGTCGATCCATTTTTCTTTGTCTTCTCTCTCCCGTCCGCGGTCCCAGAGAGATCCCGACCGCTTCCTTTGCGGTAGCCTCGCGCCCTGGGCCGTATTTTTCTGGCCGCCCGGGGCCCGAAATCGGGCCCCACGAAGCCGAAATCCGAGAAACGCCGCCAGTTGAGAGAGTCGTATCGTCGGAGATCTGGGGTTGCGGCCCCGTACGGGAGGCGAAAGT